CCCCAAAACCCCAAAACCCCAAAACCCCATTCCAAGCCACTTATTTATAAAATCAAAAATGGCTCTTAAACTATCATGCCTTATTACAACTACAGAGTTCCATAACCTGAATCTGTACCACCAGGGCTACTACTACATCAGGTACAGACTCTTCACTGAGACAGAAGGGACGAGGTACTTCGCCCAGCCTAATAGAGTTGTGGCAAAGTTTAAACAAAGACAGCCAGAGGTTAGCACAAGTATAAATGGAACTATCACAGAAAATGAATATCGGACAGAGGGATTCAAGATAGTCTATATAGGAGAATCCATCTCTTTGAATGAATCTGTGACCTTTAACCATTGTGTTAATCTATCTTGGGGTGTTGCAATAGAAGACGTCTGTATTCCTCTCTTACTTGAAGCCAGTCTTCATTCTGTAGTCTTCCAAGATATCAAAGATCCCCAGTACCCTCCTACAGCTGATGAATATAAAATAGTAAATTCTAAGGTGTTTAGGCTGGGAGATGTGATGAAGGGAGTCTTTAAATATTGCCCAGTTCAGTTTACAGGCGAATATACTTCTCTTCTTGAAACTTCAGTTCATGCTATTGTGAGTGATATAGAAGTCAGTCCAGCGAAGTTGATAAGAATCAATCAAAACCTTCTAGAATGTTCAGAAAAGCAGAATACGTCCGAAGCAAAGAACAATGATCCATGGTTTATGATAAATCTTGACGAGAGCAATTTGTATATATCAGATGTTGAAGATCCAAAGCAAAATAGTAGGGTTAAACAATTTCAAAATTCTAACTTCCATAGTGGCTTCAAAATAATTCTCAGAAGATTAATTTTGTAGAAAGCATCTTTCTATCGGATGAAAGTTGGAGACTTCATACTGTCACTCCTGGTACTCAGGATCAAATAATTCTCTAGAGGAAGAAAGAGGGATGAATAGATTGTTATGGGATGTCCTCGCTTCTCAATTTAACACTCTTCGAAGGATTTATAAAGATTTTTATAAACAACTTGACAAGGAGACTAAACTGTCAGAACTTAAAATCAAAGCAAAGAAGAAGAGCTACAAAGGAAGGTAATAAAATATTTTAACCAAATAGAGACCCAACCGAAGATGGTCAAGAAAACTATATCAGCGGTATGCCTTCTAATTTCATCTTTAGAGGACGAAAATTACGCAGGTAAGGATCAGAAAGAAGAAAATAAGATCTCAATTAATTTCATTCCGACCCCAATGATGCTCAGAAAATCTGACAGTTATGACTCTGATCAAAGTATTGAAGGTAAATAGTTGAATCCTCACAATAGAAAGCTGTGATTTTGGAATGGATATCAATGAAGACTCTCCTGAAAATAAACGGAAATTAATAGGACCAATCGCTCGTGTCAATTCAGATAACTTTAGTAAAGAAATCCCCTTCTTAGAGCTTAAAGAAGGAGCCAGCAAGAAGCAAGGTGAAAGTATTGAAGAAATAATAGACGAGATGATCAAATCTAAAGATTTACTAAAATAAGGACCTTAATACACTATGGAGTCAATACAAGGCCTTCTTAAGATATAACGCCAAGACTCAGAAGGAGCTACACACAATCATGAAGAAAAAGCATTCTACTTTGTTTAAATAAACTTGTTAATAAAATAGTAACTACTGAAAAAAATGCAAGGCTTGACACAGAACTAACTAAAGAGTTTCTTAGGTCTGTTGATGCTAAAGCGGATGAACTTAGAGAGTTATACACAAATTCGTACATTGACCAAAAAGAAAGTTCCAGAGGTTTAGTCCATAGAAGGCACGACTACAAGAAAGATTTTATGCCTATTATCTTTGAACAAGTTATTCCAAAAGGGTCTCTTGAGCAAGAAAGTGAAAGTAATGATAGCTTAGAAGAAACCAAAACTCCTTCAAGAAAGAAGGAAAAGAGTAAGATAAGTAATAAATTTTAGAACCAACAAAAGGGAAAGTTCACTATTTCTTCCTCATGCATGGATACGCAAGTAGTTCTGATGATATGGAGTTCTTTGCCTCCTGCATTCGTCAGAAATTAGATAATTGTTATGTTTATTGATGATCAAAAGCGCAAGGTGATAATGATGCAGGAATTCTTGAGCTTGGAGAAATCATAGCTGAAGAAATCAGGTAATTTTGAATTATTACAAATTAGATTGGAAATCGGAAAAGCAGTACTGAGCGGAGATTTAGGAAAAATATCATTCGTTGGTCATTCACAAGGCGGCTTGGTTCTGAGAGCAGCTCTTCCTCAATTAGAATCATTTAAATCATATTTTCATGGCTTTGTAACACTTGCAACTCCTCATGCTGGGTATGTTCACTCAAAGAGTAAAATATTATCTGTGGGAATTTGGGCTCTTTCCAAGGTTGGTTCAGCTCCAACGATTCCTGAAATCAGACTCTCAGATAGCAGTGAGATTGAAGAATGAGCTTTGTACAGACTCTCTCAATACAAGGGTCTTGATTGGTTTAAATATGTAATCCTCAGTGGTTCTTTCCAAGACCTTTACGCTCCTATTGAAAGTGCGCTACTCCAAATCTCGGCTCGATCTCCCGTTTACCAACAAATATGCGAGAACCTTTACCAAAATCTTAACAAGACCAAGGTATATCGAGCCAGTGTTCATTTCAAGCTTGGTAATATGTTTTACTTATTTTACAGGTTCCTCAATTGACTCATTTATTGGTCGGAAAGGGCACATTCAATTCCTTGAAAACTTCTGTCTGATGAAGACCATTATTGCCAAGTATGACTGCGTCTTCAAAGATATCAAGAGTTAATAAATACTCTTAAGAAATTTCAACGTTCAAAAATGAATAGGGGTTTTGGGGTTTTGGGGTTTTGGGGTTTTGGGGTTTTGGGG